CTCAGCACAAGGGCTACCAGTGTCTTCCCGGTAATGGTAGAGTCTATATATCTAGAAATGTTGTTTTTAATGAAAGAGTTTTTCCATTTGCATATGAAGTTGCAGCTTGTTCTCCACGTAGTGCACATGTTATCTGTTCACGAGACATTCCAATTGTTGCAGATGCAAGAAAGTGGATTAGTGAAGCTGTTCTAACTGTTAATCAAGGTAATATATATAATGCGGTGGGTGATGAGGCTGCAGACCAGTCATACCAGAACGTGTCCAATTCACATGTTGCTAGGGTCACATCTCTTGGAGTGCCAACCACTACTGCTGACTCAGGGTCAAATTCTACTTCAACGGGTATAAATAATACAAGTAAAACTAAAACAGTACGACTCAGGTGCTTGAAGAGTTGGTGTTGCCTATTAATGTGCCAACTACATCAACTACTCTACTAACTAGGGAGACACACAAAAAATGTGGAGTTTTCAAATCTAAGGTGTACTCTAGTCATTTTGACAATGAGATACCCTCCAAAGTTCAAGAGGCATTGCAATCGGCCAATTGAAGGGAGGCAGTTTAAGTTGAAGTAGATGCTCTTCAAAGGAACAACACGTGGAGGTTAGTTAAACTACCAGAGGGTCATGTTCCTATTGGTTACAAGTGGTTGTTTAAACTGAAACGCAATCCAGATGGCTCCATACATCGTCATAAGGCGCGTTTGGTTGCAAAAGGTTATTCGCAAGTACCAGGATATGACTTCACTGATACATTCAGCCCGGTTGTTAAATTATCCTCGCTTAATGTTGTGTTGGGACTAGTAGTATCAAATGACTGGGAGTTGAGACATGTTGAAATTAATAATGTGTTCCTTAATGGAGACCTCACTGAAGATGTCTTCATGCAACAACCACCAGGATTTGAGCAAGTTGCTGAAGATGGATATGTCCTGGTTTGCAAGCTTCAGAAGGTGCTTTATGGACTACGTCAGGCTCCTAGGAATTGGCATGCTAAGCTTAAGGACAATCTTGTACAGATAGGGTTTATTGCATCACGAGTAAACTCTTCTTTATTTTTCTGTAAACGAGATGTTGGTGACATATATGTGTTGGTATATATTGATGACATTGTCATTACTGGACTTTCGTCTTGTGAAATTCAAGAAGTAGTGCAGTTACTCAGTGATAGATTTTCGCTCAAGGACCTTGGTTCGCTTCGGTTTCTTCTGGGAATTGAGGCGCATCGCTCTCGTGGTTCTCTCTTCTTAAGCCAGAAAAAATTTGTGTTAGAACTGCTTGAGAAAACTAGCATGACAAGAGCAGTTGCGTGTTCCACGCCCATGGTTCTGGCATCGAAATTTTCAAAAGATGTTGGAGAGTTGTTGTTAAATGTGAGTGAATATCGCAGCATAGTTGGCTTATTGCTCTACCTATGTCATACTCATCCTGACTTAGCCTACAGTGTTGGAAAGGTGGCACAGTTCATGCATGCACCACGATAAACACAATGGCTTGCAGTCAAGCGTATTCTTCGATATTTAACTGGTATTGTGACTTATGGCTTAATGTTTCGAGCTAATGAGGCTGAGTTGACAATGTCCGCCTTTGCATATGCTGATTGGGGAGCCAATATAGATGATCGGTGCTCTATCTCTAGTTATGGTGTGTTCATTGGAAAATGCCTTGTTGCATGGAGTTCAAAGAAACAAAAAACTATGTCCCGGTCCACAATAGACACTGAGTACAAGTGTCTTGCTGATGCGGCTGCTGAAGTCACCTGGACGAGTGCTTTACTTGCAGACTTATGGTTACAATAACGGAGAGAACCGGTGGTTTGGTGTGATAATACGGGAGCAATGGCTATGAGTGTTAATCCCATCTATCATGCTCAGTCTAAGCATATAGATCTTGACATTCATTTTGTTCGAGAGAAGGTTGTAGCTGGACAACTTAAAATTAACTATATACCTGCTACACATCATGTTGCAGATGGTTTTACAAAGCCTCTGTCCAAGTCTGCGTTTGAGGAGTTTCATCGCAGTGTATGTGTGGTGCCAGGGTTGTAGGTTTGTAATTAAAACAAGGAAAAGATGAGAAGAGTAAGTAGAATGTTAGGCTATATCAGTGCTTGTTGTGTATCTGCATGTATTCTAGGTTAGTTTTTGCGCCACAAAGTTGTTAGATTGTTAGTTTAACAGACTAGCATTGCAAGCTATAAAATGATGTATTAGCATGTATAATTATCAATGAATTCGGTATATTTTCTAGTATATATGTTTCTCAATAAAAATATAATACGATACTTTTACCCATAGATTGAGCATGTGAAAGTACAATTTGATGTAGTAGAAAGGCGAAGTCCCGCAAGATAAATAAATAAATTAATAATCAAAAGCATGCTGTATCTTAGAAAAGGTCTAGATTTTTCTTAAATAGCGTTGTCAGACCTTTGTTCTTTTTGAAAATGTGATTTGGACTACTTTCTTTCCTCCTTTTTTATCCTTTATATTTTATGGGTTACTTTGCTTGGACCAAACGGCCCAACCTAATGGTTGTAGGAGTCGATTTTCTTATGGTTCAATGCTTAATGAATGCAGAACCTTCGTGTTGCTTACAAGGGTCCGTTCTTCTTATACTTCCACCGATCCAGAATTATTTTTTGAGGATAATATACATATATTAATAACATAAAATTTTAGATGGAATTAACACATAAATATTAATAATATAAAGTTTTTTAATAAGATGAACACAAATAAAATTTTAAGATAAATTAAAATAAGTAATTAAAAAAATCACACTTCAAAGTGAACACGTACTCACTATAGTAATTATAAATCCATCATTTAGGGTTGGACCTAAAGCAGGTGGGTGAGACAGTTACCTCCTAAAAATTTTAAATTTTTATATATTTTAAAATTTTATTTGTACTTTCTATTAAAAATATGTTTTTACCCCTTAAAATTTTATATATTCTATGATATGTAAAATTTAATAAGTTTACTTCTCCACCAGGAAATTTGTGTCTATCCATGTCGTCATTGCACCTAACAGGCTAACACTTGATATATATGAGAACATAAGAAGGCTAAAGAGCATGGGAGATTATAATGACAGATCTAGAAATATATATATATATATATATATATATATATATATATATATTAATAATAAAAATTTCTCCTATTACATGATAAAATTTTAAAGTGAACACTTTTAATTGAACAACCTAAATTTCATCTAAATTTCATCTCCATCCTAAAACCCATTTGATTCTAATCAAGTATATGTTTTAGATTACATGATAAAACTCTTTAATTTTGTTAAACATTTAATGTTATTACATTATCAAAAATTGATAATGGTAAAATTATTTATTTAATCTTATTTCGTTTGATTCTAATTTAAATCTTTTATAATTATCTAAATGTAAATTTTACTTATTCACATCTATAAAAAAATTTATACGGTCAACAAAATTTTAAGATAGTACAAAATTTATTTTTAATTATTATAAATGTTAATAAACTTGCAGTTACAAGGTAGTAATCTTTTTAAAATAAATTATAAAATAGCAAAATAAAAGTAAAATTGAAGCAGGGCGGCATTAATCAAAACACGTGTCGTTTACATATTCTGACTCATTTTCATGTTTGTTACGTTACGTTCAGACTTCACACCAGTAACAGTACACCACTTTTCTTTGTCACATCCAAATTTATTTCTCAAATAAATCAACAAATTATAGCATTTGTTTATTCATACAATATATGAGATCACGTATCACTGTTTCTTATAGGCTCCGAAATTGAAATAGTATATAATAAATAATGAAAAATCAGTTTATTAAAATTAAGACAGATAAGAATTTTTATTATTTTATAAATAAAAAAAAAATAAAAAAAATTCTATTTAAAGAATCAATATAATTCAATTTTAAGAACAATTAAAACTCCTTATTATCGTACCAACAATAAGTTGATATAGTAGAATAAAACACTAGATCCCTTAAAAAATATGACCCATCAAAACTTTCGGATAAGCACTTTCGTTCACCGGAGCATCCAAAGAATTTATACCAAGTTAAGGAGCATCATAGTCAACTAGAAAACATAGGTCAATACTATTGACAAACTCACGTAAACTTTTATAACGAAATTTAAAATCTAACGACTAAATTTACCTAATTTATTAACTTAAGAATAATCATAATGACTATATATCTTATATCATCAACTAAAATAATTATAAATATATTTGACAATAATTGAGAGGTGGATTTTCCCATGACTAGGGGTGTAAACGAACCGAGTCGAGTTCGAGTATTGTTAAGCTCGACTCGAACTCGAAAAGTATAAACTCAAGCTCGATTCAACTTGAAAACTCGCGAGCTAAAAATTATTAAGCTCGACTCGAACTCGAAATATATTTTTAAAACTCGACTCGAATTCGAAAAGACTCAAATTCAAAAAAAATCAAGAATTCAATTAAAACTCAAAACTCGATTCAAGCTCGATTTTAAGCTCAATTCAAGCTCGAAACTCGAGCTCAATTCAAGCTCAATTTTGAGCTCGAAAACAAGTTAATTTTCAACTGCCGAAACCCATCCCTTTTATAAACTCGACTTTACCCCTTATTCCCCAAAACTACCGATGTGGGATATCCCTCTTTCAAGCTAAATATAGTATACTGTGCATCTTCTTCTTCCTCCTCTTCTTCTCTCCCGAAACTCAACGCTCTGAATTAATAATCCTGGTTCCAAACATTCCACTTCCAATTGATCTCCCATGAATTGCAATAAATAAGAAAAAGAAAGGTGTCAGCAGCTATAAGAATATTTATTCAAAATCTCCCATGGATTGTCTGGTACTCTGGTTCGCGAGGTCCCGAGCATTATTGGCGGTGACAGTTTTGTCCAGCACAGGGATATTTCACCATCTTCATGACGGAACCATCATCCCGACTCTAATCACCTTCTCTTTGCCGACAACTTTCATGGCAACACTCTTCCCCGTTGGAAGATGCCGGTTCATTGGTGCATGCTTTCTTATGTAAGTTCCCTGCTTAATATATACTTCCTTTTAGCATATGGTTGACTGTAAATTCTGCATTTTGTCCCTTTTTCAATTTACAGACATCTTTTATATTGTTGGTCACTTATCTTTTAATAACACACAAATTCTTCTTTTGTTGCTATAATTCGTATTTCCTGGTTTGAATTCATGCTTATGTTTTTTTTTTGAGTTGTGTGAATCATTTGGTTGTCATTTTTTTCTAAGAAGAAACTTCTTTCTCTCCTTTAAATTTAAATTATATTTAAGACTCATATGTTTGGTCTCTATATGTTTAATAGTTGGGCAAGTGGAGCCCTTGATCCTGAGAGAAACGAATCTGGTGATCTTGTAACATCTGTAAAAAGGTTTCTATATATTTCTAATGCCATTGTAATGTCTTAGCCCTTTTACTTGCTGACATATATCAAGTATCTCCCATTTGCTTTTTTATAGGGGTGTATGGGCAATGATTGCAGTTATTCTTGCTTATTGCTTGCTGCAAGCTCCTTCCACGTGAGTTATTAGATTGATTCTCTCTGTAGATCTTAATCCATTTAATTGTTTTACATGGATTCCTTACTGATTTGTAGAAAACTTTCATGACAACTTTCATGGCAAAGTTCATGGCATTCGACCAAGCTCGTATTTTCCATGGAGAAAAGCCAGTTAATTGGTTTTAGCTTTCTCGGCCATTTTTATAAGGTAGATCTATAGAAATTACTTGAAAGATATAATTTAAAATAAACAGACGATTATAAACAGTGTCGATAGTCATCATTAAGATATGATAAAATCATGTCTCAATCAGCAAGGTGTAGATATTTATTTAACATGTTGATATGTTTATGTATAAGTATGCAAATGATTTATTTAAGAGTCACATAACATCATTTAGCATAATTTGTATGTTACCTTCATGTACATACTTAACCCCTATCATATAACTGAGTTTAGGGTTTAGGTTTTAGGGTTTAGTGCTAATGGTTTAGGGTTTAAAGATTAAGGTTTAGGGTTCAGGGTTTAGTATTTATGGCCTAAGGTTTAGGGATTAGAGTTTAGGGTTTAGTATTTATGATTTAGGGTTTAGGGTTCATTTCAAATAGTCAAATATATTAATTAATCGACTTGGTAATGATTTATGAGGTAAGTACAATATAGTATCTTGATATTAAATGCTCAAACCCTTGATATTTGAACCCGAAACCTCAAAATATAACAACAATTTAAAAAATTAGTTATTAAAAATATTATCATTAGAAATATATTAAATATTTGTCATTAGACAAATAATTTTTTATTAATTTAAAATAAATATTAGAATATTTATTGAAAAGTAATTTTTAACCATTTTTAATTTTTCTATTGTTTGGCTATTTTTTTTATTTTATTTTATGTTGTCATGTACTTGTGCAATAAAAAGTTAAAATAAGAAAGAAAAAATCAACCAAACACATGTAATTTAATATGTGCTTAATTAAATGGACTTTTATTTTTCTTTTAGTAATATACAATGTAACAATTGGACTTGGGCTGGTTAAAATAAAATTTGATGGTAGTTGTATTATAGAATTTTTTATATATTTTTAAAATTTTATAACTATCAATAATATATTTTAAATATATTTTTAATAATGTAGTTTTAAAAAATCTAAAATTATAATATAAAATTTTTTCGAGTAGCTCACGAGCTTTTCGAGTCGAATATCGAGTAGCTCGTTTCGGCTCGTTAAGAACTCGAGTCGAGCTCGAGCTCGAGTCGAGTCCATTCGATCCGAGTATTTATCGAGCCTTGATCAAATCGATCTCGAGTACCTCGCAATCTGTCTCGTCTCATTTACTGCCCTACCCATGACCACTTTCTTTTTTTACCATTATTTTCCCTTACACTTCCATTTATCTAATAAAAAAATGTCGATGAACGGTGGTTATCTCATCAATCTTGATTTTTCACTTAAAAGGCGTAAATCACTAAATGTCGACGATATCAGCTTGTTCTCATTTAATAGTTATTAAGAAAATATAATGCTGGCCCCCTAACTCTTTGAAGGCAAACTCTGGGGTCAAGTTTGGCAGAATAAACCAAGGGACTGGCCTGCAGTTTACACAGATGGGCGGGTTGCAAAATAAATGCACTCTTCAAAAAAGCTTACAGTTTTGTATGAGAGTAAGAAGTCTGCAAGCGTTGGAAAGAATATTTAGTTACTCTGCCAGCTTTTCATCAGAAAGTGCCTTTCTTTATCGTTATGTCTTCTTATTTTCGTTTTTTTTTTATATCAAGATTGTTTTGGAAAATATACTATGATTTAGGTGATAACAATTCGATTCAAATTGCTTTTGTTTTTGAACGAAAATTGTAAACCGATCCGAATATTTTAAAAGCATCACTATTTAAAATAAAAAATATTTTATAAAAATAAAAAAATACTTTTGAATTATAAGAAAAAAAGTTAAAAAATAAAACTTTGGTTTTATTCAAATAACCGATCGTATCAAGAAATTCAAATGAGGTTTTTAGTTTTCTTGTTGAACATTGTATCTTTCGATAATGTCATCTTTAAAATTTAAAATATAATTTTTTTAAGACTATAATATAACTTAACATTATATCAAACATAATTCATATAACAGTTTTTAATAATACAACAGTTTAATCTTAAATAAACTGAGAAACACGGTTTTATGGTTGACCAACGAGAATTGGCCCCTATGGTTAACGTGGCCTCACCGCATTCTGATCAAATCAAATTTTCAAAGTCATTACAGCTAATTGGCAATATTTTTTTAACACCATAATATCAAATTTCCCAGCTAATAAAGAAAGAAAACAATACACCTCAAGTCCCCGCAATAATAAAAATATGACAAGCACTAAAGAATTGATTGCAGAGAAGAAGGAAAAAAAGGTTGAAATTTTGGGCATAGGACCACCTTCTGATTTTAGTAAAGTGTCGGCATTCCCAAAATTGCAGTAGGAGAACCAAAAGTCTTAATAGAATTTTCCTGGACTGACTGAAACTCGGTGTGTGAATTTGGATTAAATATAGCAGCAGAGGAAAGGGGTGAAAGGAAACTGATGTACATACAGGCCAAACAGGATAGAGAAGACATTTTTGCAAGATTTCTCAAGTTTTCTGGTTTCCAAACACATATCTAGCTTACATACAAAACACAGTACATATATATTTATTCCAACTAAACCAATAAAAATAAACTGGCTCATATTCCCACCTATGGAACAGAAGAAAATGGAAACTAGGCATGCATGGTACATCATCCCATAAACCGAGATTATTCCGGTGCCTTCCTATATCTAGTACCCATCACATGACGATTTTCTTCAACAAAGCTATATTTGTGTGATGCTTCATATGTGTGTGTGTATAGGTAGGAACCTAGCTTCTAAAATATAAACTTCATTTGCACCACCGGCCCTAAAAAGAATGTCATGGCAGAGAGGTCATAATAGATATTCGTTTTACGGAATATTCTTTGAAACTGATAGTCTCTCGTAAAAGCCATGAAAACTAAGATTCTCGTCATTGCAGAGCGCACTCTAAACTCCAACCCTAAGCAGATATCAGGCTGACTAGGTTCTGGTTTCAAATTTAGTGCACGGTTTTGTTCTTAAAAGTTTAAGAAACTAGAAAAACCATGCACTTAATCTATAAACAGCAATTGATGCTAAATCATACACAAGTTTTCAATTAGTAATTATACTATGATACGTCCTAATCATATATGAATATAATTCTATATTCGTGCTTGTGGAATAGCTGAAAGGAATAAGAACAAACAGCATCAGCTGAACAAAAGAAATTTAAAACCAACAAAAGATTCCAAAGTGTACATAAAAAAAATTCTGGGAATATATAGCCCATCAATTGTAATGATCAATGTAATCAGTACATCAGCCAACATCCAAGATTACAACCCCCAGAACTTATTGTCTCCCTTAAAGATCATTCCAAGAAAATTAAGGATGAAGAAAACCCGTATGTCTAGTTCTGTGTTCTTAAAAAAGCTTCAACAATCTCTGATAGCGACCTACCGATATGTTGGTACTTCAATTTATTAAACCTACTCCTGTGCTATATGACACCAACCTTTCAAGTTCTCATGTTACTTAAAACAGGGGAAGACGCGTATTTAATGGAAGAAATTTTGAATGAAGTTGTAAAAAGAAACAAAAGCTCAAGATGGGGTATCAGTAAATCATTCTATCGAATCTTGAGTAAAATCTGAAGTTCTTCCCCATTATCTCCCATCCAAGGGAAAATATATAAAAAAGGAAAGATGGGGAAAATTAACATTAACAGTAATTCAGAATTCTGAATAGGAGGAGAAACCAATAATGTAAACCTCAGTGGCAATGTCGCACCATTTCACAGCACATGATGTCGCCAAAATCCATCAACTAGCATCCCATGACAGCACAATTATAAACAAAGCCACCCGATTGCTTTCTCGCAAGCAAGTTCCATTGAGGCGACCCTTGACTTGGAACCCATGCATTCACTTCTATAAAACCTTCCCCTGAAGTCCCAGGTCCACCGATCACAATAAGGCGATCTCCACATGCTCTGAATGCAAGACCCCAACCATTCATTGAGACAGCCCTTTCAGGCAATCTTCCAATAGTCAACCATGAGTTTCTCTCCTTATCATACTTCTTTACCTCCATGTCAGCATAGTCAGCAGAATACAAGTCATCATTTACAACTGCAACCAGAGGGGGTGCACCGGCTGCTGCAGGCATCTCAGCCTCACCAGCTGCTCCACTCCTTCCAGGTGACATGTTAGGAATTTCAGTCCATTTTTTAGTCTGTAGATCATACTCCTCACCTGAAGTGAGAACCCTAGTATCTTTTCCAACTCCCCCAATTACATAAAATTTTCTATCCATAAATACTCCACTACACATCTTCCTCGGCTTATTCATGCTAGGGAGAGTCTCCCACTTCTGTGTCTCGGAATTGTACATTTCTGCAGAGCTCAGGATATTACCCTGAGAATCACAACCACCAGCTAAAATCGCAATCTCTCCAAGACTAGCTGACCCAAACAAGCACCTTGGAGCATTCATACTTATGCCAGAAGTCCAAGAATTTGTCAAAATACTATATCTATATATAACCAGAGAAGTCACTTCTTTCCCAAAAACTAGCAATTCAGTTCCCACAGCCAAGGATTCCTTATCTGAAAAAATGAAACATTCATTGTGAGGCATCCTTGGCAAATGCATCCACCTGTGTCGAATTGGATCAAATGCCTCCCATTGAAAGAGTTGACAAGAAAAGTATACCCAATGCTCAATCACTCCATTCAACCTCCTCAACGTATAAATCTCTCCACTCCTAATTAAACTCCTAATTAAGGAATAAAAACTCCGGTTCAACGAGGCAATGGAACCATAATCAGACCTTGAACACCTTATCAGACAACTGATGGAGATGTCTCTCCCAATTGGTTGGATTAAGGAATCCAAATCTGAAAACAATTCCCCACCATTTTCCCCACAACCATGCTCCACCTCATGAGAATCTGAAAAACCCTTATCATCATTATCTTCCCCAGACTGTTCCTCCGGTGAGTCCTCCACAGAACGCAACAGGCTGTCTTCGGGTTTGTCTAGTCCAATAGAGTGACGGTGGATAAGTGAAGAATTCAAATCCGAAGAAAAATCAGATTGCTTACTGTCATCGTCGGATTGGTCACGTGAATCAGGCAAGAGGAGGTCACGTGAGTCTTCTGGGGAGGAAGTAGTATTAATATTACCATTATCACTGTTATCATCGCTGGAAGAATCATCGGATGAGAGCTTAGCCAATTTGGTCTCCCGAAGAGTACCGTCAGATTCGGCAAATTCCGGTGAACGCTTCCCATTATACATGTAAGCCCACTCTGTTCCTTGTTGACAAGAGCTTGCAAACAACAAACACGGCTCGCAGGACCGGCCCTCCAACATGACTCTTCCGCCCACCTACCCAACTTCAAAAGTGAAAAAATTTCCCCAAAAATAAAGCTTTAGGAAATTTCGAATCACTGTAACAAGCACAAGCTTTTCTTTTTGACCCACGGAAAAAGAAAACGCTGTCAAGGATAACAAATTCAACCTATTAAGAAAAGAAAAAACTAACGAAAATCTTTAATTGAATTCGAAATGATAAGATAAATCCAACGGAAATTTGAAGACAATAAAAAACGATCCAATTGAGATTTATAAAGGTAAAATAATTTACAAAGGCCTTTTTGTGTGTGTGTGCCGGTTCCAGAAGTCAAAGGAGAATAAACAGAAACAAATTTATAAGACAAGAAGGAGAAAACTCACGATCAAACGAACAGAAGAAAAAAGAACTACCAGATCTCGGTATTTCATATACAAAAGAAGCGGAACATAATATATAGATGTCTGCAAATAGAACTGTTAGATTCAAAAGAACTGGAAGAAAAACAGAGAGCGAATTAGATCTGTTTATAATTTCACTAATCTAAGTTAATGAATCAGGATAAAAAAACAAAGTGATTAAAAACTAATAACATGGAAATGGGGGGAAATGACGAAAAAAAGTTGATTAATAATAACAACAATGTTGCGAGGGACATACTGATTGGGTAAGAAGAAATGTCGCCTTCCTGGTGCTTCTTCGTCAAATTTTCTTTCTCTGTTTCTCCATAGGTTGGTTTTCTCGTCCTTTGGATTTTATCTGCGAATCAAAGCGAGGGGTTGAGAGCTTTGGCTTCAGCAGCAAAAATTCTTAAGAGGTCCGTTTATCTATCTTCAATGTCTTCTCTCTCTATTTATTTTCTCTCTCCCCGAACAATAAAAGAGAAAATGCTATTTGAATTTTGATTTATGAAGTAAACAAATTAAATAATTTTTTTTCATGAAAATAAATAAATGAGATTAGATATTATTAAACACTTATCTCCCTTCCCTGGGCGGAGAAGAGGAGAGGCGGGATGATGGCGGCGGCTGCGGATGGGTCCTACAGAAAGAAGGAAGGGGGCGGGGGGAGGGAAACAACCATAACCGGTGAGCGCCTGATTGAACACGTGTTGATTTATTTATGATAAAAAAGTAGAGTCCGTTACCTCAACGTCTTTCACCGTCCTAATTAATCGGTCAATTTTCTCCGTTAGTGGAGTTCTGATTCCATTGACAATCGTTTTCATGAAAAATTAAGCTCAAGTTTAATTAATTACTTAATCCTCAATTAAGGAGTCACCGGTCATTTTATCAAATAACTTACACATTCTTTATATTTTTTATGAGTAAAGTACACAAATAATACTATAGTGTGGTAGTTTGTTGAGTCTATCAATTATTAAAAAAAATTATAAAATAATCACTCGACTATAGGGTGTTATTTTGTTAAATCACTTGACTGTTAAAAATTATAAAATGATCGCACAAGTATTCATATGTTCCAAATTCATGTTTCCTGTTCAAAATTAACGATAGTTTAAATTAGGCGTTAACATGTTATTTGAGACATGGTAAAATTGAATCTTATAATTGTTTGAGTTGTGTTTATGTATTGACTCTTTGTTTATATTGTGTCATCAAGCTAGTACTTCAAATATTATATCGTAGAGTCATTGCTTAAAAGTAGATGTGGTACCAATAAATATCATTAAAATATTATTTTATCATATCTGAATAATTATATTAATGTCAAACTCAAATGATCATCAACTTTTTCTAATAAAAAATGACAGTTCGAAACATATGAACAATCATCTGACTATTTTATAATTTTTAATAATCATAAGACTCAATAAAATAAAATTTTATAACCGAATTTTATAACTTTTAATAATTTTAAACTTAACAAATTAACATTTTATTGTCACATGGTATTACGATGGACGTGGAAATCCCTTCTGAAATGGCGCACGAGATGGCGCACGTGGTATCTACGATGGCCGGACAAGAATTCGTTGCAAGAAATAAAACAAGAGTTCGAACCCATCTCGTGGTCAACCATAATGGAATTTTGACCGATGTTTGCATAGACTGGTCGGGATTAATGAACGACGATCAAGTGCTGCAAAAATCATCCCTTTATCAAAGAGCAAACGACGGGTTCTTCAACGGAATTTGGATCGTGGGGGTTTGGTTCCCTACAATAGACAACGATCGACATGGATATAGTTAAATTTAAAGGTTCGGCATTGTTTGATTTATTTTAAGTAATAAAATAAAATATTAGACATCAAACTAAAACGAAATAAACATTAGACATTAAATTAAAAAAATGAACATATATTAGATACTTTTTGAATACTTAAGCCTAAAATAAACTATAACATGCACAGTTACTTAGGGCATAAATTCAATTTCTAGAACATACTCTTTTTAGTATTGTTAGTATCATGCAAATTAGAAGGAAAAGAATAATGGTGATTTAAAAAAAAATAATCTTTTGTCCCAAAAAAAATGATTTACGAACGAAGTGCACAATTACTTTTTTAATTTATTATGTGCATATTTTTATCTTTTCGTTATTATTATTATATATACAAGTAAAATGATAATTTTTTTATAATAAAGTGGGGGTAATGCAAGCAATTATTATTATATATATATATATTTAAAGTTTATCATCTGTAAAAAGAAATTATTATGTCCGTGAGTAAAGTGGATGTTCAATCGAGTCGAGTAAAAAATTTTGAGTTATTCGAGTTGACGAGTCCTATTGTACAACTCGGAATTAACTTGAAATTTTTTCGAGCCGAATCAAGTCAAATATTTAAGTTTCTTTTTGAATTTAATTATAAATATTTATAATATTATGATATTATTTGATTTTAATTTAAATATTTTTTTGATCTATTACAATAATATAACAATTCATTCATGTGTGATTTTTGATTAAAAAAAATACAATACATATGTATTTCCTTTATATGTGATGTATATATATCATACAGAATTGAGAGACTCTATTTAAACTTAAAATTCAACCATTAATTATTAAATATTTCAAGTTATTCGAGTTATATTTTACAACTTGATTCGAACTTGAAATTTTTTCGAGTCAAGTCGAATTTATGAAATTACAACTCAAAGTTATTTCGAGTCAAGTCGAGTTTTACTCACCCCTATCAGTGAATATTAAGGCTTGATTTTCATTTTATGTAAATTACTAAATTATGTATAAACTAATTTTAAATTTTATTATAATTTAAATTATATTTTTGTAAAAAAAAATATTCTTATTATTAATTTGATTGTGTTTTGTAACGTTTAACTTTAATTTATCTAGATGTTTAATGTAAGTATGGTTCATTTTTTATAAAAATTAATTGAATCGTATTATGTGTAATAAAATCATAGTATACATATAGAATACTATGTGAGTAGATAACAATCTTTTATTAAACATATCCTACAAATTTGTAAGTACATCCTTTTATAGGCTAAATCTCATAAGTTATTAGAACTATATGTTACAACATTTACACCTTAAGTTTTCATAATTTAAGTATATAAAAGATGAAACATCCATATTAAATATTATTTATAACACTCCCTCTTGGATGTTTATCAGTAAAAATCTGTCTCGTTAAAATCTTATTAGGAAAAAGGGGCAAACCTAATGAAAGAAATAGTACATCATCCTTTAATACGCATGACTTGCTACCTCATTAAAACCATTTCCAAGAAACCCATTGTGACAAAACCATGGATAAGGGAGAAAGAGTACAACGCGTATTTGATCTCCCTTATGAATGCATCATATAAGATCTCTTAAATCCAATGTTGAAAATTAACTTTTCAAATGTACTCATAGGAAACGCCTCAATAAATAGATCTGCTAAATTTTTACTTGAACGAATCTGTTGGTCATTAATTTCCCCATTTTTTTGTAGATCATGAGTGAAAAAGAACTTTGGTGAGATGTATTTTGTACTATCACACTTTATGTATCCTTCTTTGAGTTGGGTAATGCAGGATGTATTATCCTCATATAAGAATGTTAGAGTTATTTTCTCAGAGCATAAGTCACAATCTTCTTAAATATGATTGATTACAGATCTAAGCCACAAACATTCACAACTAGTCTCATGGATAGCTAAAATCTCAACATGATTAGAGGAAGTGACAATAATTGTTTGATTTATAGAGCGCAGAACAATTACAAGACCGCCATATGTAAATACAAAACCAGTTTGTGATAACTCATTATGAGGATCATATTAGTACCCTACATTTATAAAACCAATCAATTCTATTTTTGGATAAAATAGGAAAAAATAATCTAATGTCTTTCGTACCTTGAAGATAACAAAATATATGTTTCAAGCCATTTCAATGCCTTCGGGTAGGACATGAACTAAATCTTGCTAATAAATTGACAATAAATGATATACAGTTAAAACTCTATAAATTAATAATGTCAGGATCGGAGAAATTTATTAATTTAGAGAGTTATTAATTTATCGATAAATTAATAATTATTAATTTAAAGAGTTTTTAAGTAATTATACTGTACATACCAAACAAAAAGGCAAATTAGTCTATGCCTCTTAGAATTACGTTGCAAGAGATGAGTTAAATTAATAATGAGCTCCAAATAGACTTGAACTTTAAAGGAAAATAGACAACTATTGAATCATATTTCAATAGAGTGTAATATATTTTTTTTCAGTTTCTATGAATTATTAATTTATGATTTTCTTGGGACCGAAAATTATAAAGGGATCTAACGAAAAATTATTATCTTATTATTTTATCAAGTTTTTCAATTTTTTACAATGGCATAAGTCGGGACCGGACAAATTTATTATTTTAGAGAGTTTATTAATTTACCGAGTATTAATTTAAAGAGTTTCTACTGTATCATATTGTGTATGACTAAAAAGAGACATCAATGCACCAATAACACTTAAATATGGTACTTCTGGACCAAGAAGATTTTAATTTTTTTTCTAGATGATGAAAAATATCTTTATTTACGTCAAACGACCTAGCAACCATCGAGATACTCAACTGATGTGCATTATGCATGTAGAATTTCTTCAAAACTTTTTCTATATAAGACGACTGATGTACAAAATTTCATTTTTTAGGTTCTCAATATGTAACCCAAGACAAAATCTTGTCTTTCTAAGGTATTTCATTTCAAATA